ATTGGAAGAATTAACGGATGACTTCGATGACTATTGCCAATTAGTCAACAAAGTTCAAAGACATACGAAATGTTCATTTTCCTCTTGCCTTGTACTAAATAAGCGTACTAATTTAGAAGAATGCTGATTTGGATATTCAAAAGAATTACACAATTCTACTATTATACAATCTGATGATAATAACCAACCAGAACTATTATTACGTCGTAATGATCCATTAGTCAACCCACATTGTAGAATTCAGCTTCAAGGCTGGAGGGCCAATGTTGATATAAAGCCGTTCTTTCTCTTCATGCTGCGCTCTCTTACGTTGCAAAATACGCCAGCAAATCAGAACCACGTTCTAAGACATTCAATGAAATATTTTCTGATTATCTTAATAGCGCAAGACCCGATAAACTGGCTTTAAAGCCAATTCAGAAACTTTTATTGCATACAGTATCTGAACGGGATTTTTCTACTCAAGAAACATCGCATCTTCTTCTTAAGTTACCATTAGTTGTATCATCTAGTGTCTTTTTAATTCTTGATCTTAGTGAAGATAGTACGCTACGCAAACTAACTAATAATAACAATATACATGATCACAATAATAATAATAATTCGCCAATTAGAACCGAACTTTCTAATTTACAAATTTATTGGAAATGTTCTTCAGTTTTTGAAGAGTTTTCTTTATTTAACTTAAATCAAAAATATATATATAATTCTACTACAAATAAATGGACTCCACGAAAAAAAAATTGCATTATTAGAGTTTGGCCCCACCCATCATCAGTTCGCTTTGGACCATCATGGAAAGATTATTGTAGATTAAAAGTTCTTCTCCATATTCCTCATCGAAGTATGTCTGACTTTGCTCAAGACAATACTAACATTGACTGGATCGAATTATATAATCAGTTTTCTAATGAAATCGAACTTGATGGAAATGATATTCTCGGTAAGCCAACAGATAATGAGGAAAACTGGGAAAGTGATAATGAATATGAAGAACTCGATGAAAATAACATTATATTTCAAGATCCATGGATGCAAATAGCTACAAACAATTTACAAGCCATAAATGATAGCCTTGGAGAACGTTCTATGGATATTAATTATGTGTGGACAGGATCATATGAGGCATTTCCAAATCTCAGTGAAGCAGCATCTTTTCTAGAACAAGCTAAACGTGGCCAGATTGAAACTGCATTTTATAATAATAGCGACGAAACTTTTATTGATCCTGCTACTTTAAATAAAAAACAAAAGG